GAGCTATCACAAACAAGTTTCCTGAAAAGTTTTTCAAGCTCTGGTTATTGACCAATAATTGGAAAGAAGATAGTATGAACTCTGATTTTGATCATAAAAAGAAAGAAAAAAGAGCACACTAAGCTATTGCAGAGCATAACACACTCATTTGGCTAAAAAAACCCTGCAGAGCCATACCGAGCTATCACTATAGCTTCAAATTCAGTCAATAATTTCCTACTTATGGCAACTAATACGAATAACAGGGTTTCATGTGTTAACTGTATAACAACTCAAAAGACAGATAAGCATGCCCGCATACTCAGAGTGTTAACATTTCTAATATCAACTACAAGGTGAACTGAACTGTACAGCACACACGCCAGCACCACTGAGGTCAATCATCTTTCATACAAACTTTATTCTAGTATGTTTCATAGCTTAAATAAATAGGATTACAGAGAATTAATAGAAAAGGAATACATCAAAATATATAGATGAGACCAAAAACAGCAATAACAATACTTGGCCCTGATATAGCTCTTTTCCACCATAGATCTCGGAGTGCTTTATAAAAATTGGTAGGTGTCATTATGCCCATCAGACAGATGGGAAAAACTGAGGCACAGAAAGATAAGTGGACTTCTCGAAGATCACAAAAAGTTAACAGCAGAACCAGAACAAAACCGAGTTTTCCTGCCTCCCAGGCCTGTGTTCTATTCTCTGGACTTGTCTGAGATTCATAAGAAGACAATAAGTCACTGAGGTGGTATGATACAGGATGGCAGTTCAATATGTCTTGACAATTAAAAAAGGAGGGAGTATTTGCACCAGTAATACCAAGATTGGGAGAAGGTCAGAGAAGAGCAGTTGTGGATGAGCAAAGGGTACAAACAGCATAGGGGAATAAAGAAAGATAGAAAAGGTGAATAAAGCAGATTGGAGTTACTCCAGAGTGTATTTTACAAGCAAGGGCTATTTTCACTATACCAACACTTGTACTCAATACTTAAAGCCAGCAGACTATTTTTTAAACTGAGAATATAGTCTCTAATTCTTTCTCCACAATGATGTATGCCCTGTCCCTAAAGACTCAGTTCAATATGGTATAGATGCTTTGCAAGTGGTCCTAAAGTGGCATGTTACTTTGGGGGACCCGGGGAAGATACAGAAGATCATTATAACTGCAGGGAAGATGACAAATGCATTCACAGTGAACTCTAGATTGAAGTCAGTATGAAGTAAGAAGTGCCCGACTTTAGGCAGGGATAAGCCATCCCAACAACTGCAGAGGACTCTAGTGCAAAACAAACAAACTAAAAATAAACCCATAGTCTTTCCATTTCCTCCCTTGCCTATCAATCCTCTCACCCATCGCTAGCAACTAGGGACACACAAAGATCCTCTGGTTCCTTAGGGGGCAGCAGTTTCAGGGAGAACCAGGCAAAGAACCACATATAGGGACCAGGTGCCCCAAACCCTCCCCCAAACAGAGGAAAATTCTGGAAATTCCGCATGGCCTGATTTCCCCTCCTCTCCACAAAGGAGGAAGCAGATGGGACAGCTATGCAGCCTAAACTTCCAAATGAGAGCTAGTAGTGGACCAACCCATCCAAGAATGGCCACAAAAAGTTGTACAAGTGCACACACAGACATGTATGACATGAATGTTGTGTTTGAGGGATATTGAGGATTAGGATTTCGACACATCAAGATTTTAAGTGTCAGGATATGTCTGGATTTTGATCAGGGCCTACTCAGACTACGGTAATGAAAAGATGATCAACCTGCAATTCTCTGTGGTATTCCCTCTATTAGCCAATTGTAAGTACAACTGGCAGGCCTTCACCACTATAGAAAATTCAATGGAACAGATTTTCAACTAGCAGACAACAGATGAAGATAATACTAACACAACAATGGTTCCCAATGCAGATTATAGTACTGGTATCGGGGCTAGTTCAAGCAAATCTGGGGCCTAGCACACTATTCAATTAGGTCCCCCACTGCTAGGGGGTAGTTCAATGTGTGATCTGCTCTCCCTCTCCTACATACTCCAAATGGTTCTGCCAGCCAGCTGGGTAGGTAATGGAAATAGGCAATAGGGAATATGGCCCTAACTGCTGTGCATTCATGGAGAAATGGAAGAAGGTTACCAACTAAACCAAACTAGAGGCTGAACTGTGATAATAGAATCAGAGGGTTAGAAAAGGGTCATCTAGTCTAACCCCCAACAATTTTTTATTCCCTATTTCCCAGGCCTGCTTAGGGATATCCTTCCTCCCAAGGAATAGCACTGGGCCCCATCAGTAGTTCCACTGACTCCAGTGGGAACACTCATGGTGTAAGGTACTATTGATGTAACCTGGTTAAGGGGACAAGGGAGACCCTGATTCCCCACAGGGCTCAAACTGGGACTCAAAGGATATGAGCTGTATACTAGAGTTGCAAGGTATAATTTCCTGCTCCAACAGACATACCTGTACTAGTTCTGATTGGGTTATTGTGCTAAAAATACTAGCATAGCCACTGCAGCATGAGTGGCAGGATGGGCTAGCTCCATGAGTACATACCTGTGATCTCAGATGGGATCATACTCAGGAGGGACAGCCCATCACTCTGCTGCAGCTATACTTCTGGTTTTATCATGCTAGCTGGATCAGGGCTAGCTGGGTATGTCTACTCAAGCTGAAAATTGCATCTCCCAGCTCCAACGTAAACATATCCAAACAAACGTCATAAATTAGCTTAACTAGTTAAGGAATCAGAGAAATATAAACCCATTACTTTACCAGGATTTCTGTGAGGAACTCTAAAAAATAGGTAGTATTACTCGTGTTACCATGCAACAAATTCTTGCCAATTCTTGTTTAAATGTTAATACTATGGAGCAGTAGTAGCCATTTGACAATATTAAGGATGCTGCCACATTTTTTTAAAGCTGATTCTGCAGCCCCTGTAAAATTCACAAAAGAAATCAGATCAGCTTGAAAACTGGGAGGATAAATCTGGAGCCAGGATAAATTTTGTGGGAAAAATATGAAGATACTTGAACAATGGGGTTCAGAGATGTAGGGTACCCTAAAATTAGGTGTTTTAAAAGTTACAAACGTCTAATGCTTTTTCTGTATATAACTAGGGAAGAAACAGTGAGTATGTAATGAAACTTACATAGCTAGACTCTTCTTGTTGATATCTAGTGCATGGTATCATCAGAGGTCTAAAATCTAAATATGAGAGGTTATCAGCCTTCTTTTTGGCACTATGGAGTGCAATGACAGAAAGCTGGTAATCTATATGCTGCTGGCACAAAGCACAAGCTTCCTAGCTGAGCTGTTAATTGTACTTCCAGCCTCACCCTGACCCATACAACAAGAGGCTAGGTGAGTTCAGGAAGAAGAGGGGGGGGAGAACTGTGAGCTGAAGCTGTGACAGGTGTGTAGATAACAGCTCAGCTCTCTTGCAGCAGCTCTTTCCAGCATACAGAGTTTAGGGACAAATTCTACTCCCTCCATCCTCGTGGGGGCAGAAAGACAGGGGTGGGGGACTCGTCCCTGAGACCAATACAGGAGATGAAGAATCAGCCCAGCTCTTTATATGGCTTCTCTATCCAATAAACCATCTCTTGAACACCAGCAGGGGAAGTGCCAATCTGACAAGTATATTGTGGGGAATCAGGATCCCTTCCCTGACCTTTCTGATGTTGTGTGTGTACAGGGGGGAAGCAAGGTTTTGGGGTGGTGCCAGAAGAGACAGCAGGAATGAAGTAGTAAGTGGAGACAGGGATAGCCCTCAAGTGATGGGCCCCGTAATGCTCCACTCTCCTGGGTTTGGTAGGGCTTCTTCACCTGCAGAAGTGCTAGAGAGCTGGAGCTGCTGTACTCCCTAAAGGTCATCAGAGCTACCTGCTACAGAGGTTGGAGCTGAATTCTGGCACCACCAGCAGCAAGCGCAGCATTCTCATAATGGTTTGATCTTGTTACTATTTAAAACAAACAAAATTTCTCAGATGTGGCACTGGCTCCATCTAGTGGTCTTTTATCTTTCAACTCCATTAAGTACCCAGGCTGCTCATTTGTTAAAGTCAACACATGATGATGAGTAAGGACTGGCAAAGCAAAGCAAAAAAAGAAAACATAAGAAGAGCATTTGACCATGATTTCATACATATTGTACCATTTCTATCTCATGTGTATGCAGTGATCCCTGTTCAAAGCTAGATGTTCCCACTGCAGATATCATATTACCATAGCCCATGTACATTTAGGACTGCGGGGTTAGTGTTAATTTTTTGTGAATGTTGACAGGTAATACTGATGTTTATTTTTAAAGATTTTTCCTGGTTTTGACTTAAACTATTGCGCTATTGAAAAACCCACCATTCAAGATTTAATAAATATAAGCTTCAGAAATGAAACAATATTTAATGAGACAGCAGAGACTTACAGTTTTTTGCTAGGGAAAACTAGGTATTTTTTAACTTTTTCCTGTGAAAATTTCAGTTATGAATCATGGAATATTTTCCATTAGTTTTTGGATGGGGAAGAAATTGACATTTATTAACATTTACTACTTAAAATGTAATCCTACTAGTCCAGGTATCCTCTTCTTGAATGACCAACTAGAAAGATGTGAAAAATTATGAGGGTGAAGGGAGGAATGAAGAGTTCAGCATTTGGATTCATTTTATTAAATAGTGGAGAAAATGTAGGCAGATTATTAAAATATTTGTGAGTTTCTTACTGATTAAGACAAAAATTAAAGAGATACTGAAGGACAAAACCATGATAAGTGAGGTTAAGAATAAATTGATATGATTATAAGTAGAATGTCAAAATGAATTCTCGAATACATTTTACTATAAATCAGTGAAAATTTATAGTGTTAGCACGACACAACTTTTTAAAAAACCCTTAATATAAAATTAAGTGTTGAAAAAATTATTAGGGGGTCTTAGACCTATTAAACATTAGTCACTTATGACTCTCCAGTCAATAAACCTGAAGGCCCTTGAAACCTACCTGAGGAGTTGTCTTCCTGAATGTATCAGTTCCCTGGATCACATCTTTTATTATTTTTTCCTTGAGTGCATTGTACTCTTCTTGGCTCAGATGAATAGCTTCCAGGTTTTGGTTACAAACTGGACATTTTCCACTGTAACAGTAATAAAACCACAAACAAAGTATGCATGTGTGAGAATAAGAATAGTAAAAGAGCTATATGTTAAAATTCACTTCCGTTTATTAAATGACTACGCATGCCTCTTTCTGTGCAAACAAAAAATAAATAAGTCATCAGAAAATGACTTGTGCCCAGTTTGGGCCAGATCCAAAACCTATGGAAATCAATGGAAATGCTCCAACTGACTTCAATGGGTTCTGGATCAGATCCTTGGGGACATTTAGGGGTCAACTTCTGTGTTCAATTACAAGCACTACCACAAACTTCCGGCATGACCTTGGAAAATACATTTAGTCTCTTTCTCTCTCAGTTACCCCATCTGTAAAACAGTACTTCTCTGCCTCATAGGTGTGTTGCAAAGATAAAATACATTAAAAACTCAGATCATCAGCTGCTACAGAGGGGACCACAGAAATAGCCTAAAATTGACTAAAGCATTGACAGAGCTACCAGAGCCTTTCCATGTTGACTCCCCCTCTGACATAGTCTTTCCCCACTGCTGGAACTTTTAACTGTGCAGAGGGACGGCGAGTTATATGGGCCAGTGGTGCCCGTGTGCCAGCAAATTCAGGACCCGGGGGACTGGCACCATCAATATTTGGGGACAGGTCTCTTCCCCAGCCCCACCTGTTGCCCTGCATGCCTCCCCTGGCCCCGTGTGCCTCCCCCGGAGCATCCCACAGCCCCTCCTGCCATCCCCGTGCGCCTCCCCCGGATCGTGCCTGCCTGCGCCCTGGGCAGTGGGTGGCTGCTCTGCCACTCTGCGCTGCGCTCCCTCGCCGGCCGCTGCCGGCTACAAAAGGGAGCAGCGCTGGCAGCAGGCTGAGGTGGCAGCGCAGCTGCTGACTGCGGAAGGAGGAGGGGAGGAGGCACGCATGTGATGGCAGCCCTCTCCCCCCGGCACCCACCGCAGGGGTGGCGAGGGGGCTTCCTGGACCTGAGGGGGCCCAGCCCCTAGGAGCACATGCAGTGACGGTGCCAGGTGAGTGTGCCACCGGGGAGAAGACGGGGGCCCCTTCCCAGAGCTCTCTACTGCCAGTAAGGAGAGGGCTGGGGGGACCATGGAGTCCTCCTCTCTGGCCCCAGCCCCGGGGCAGCCTCCCTGCATCCTGGAGTTTTCATCCCCACCCACACCCCAGAGCCCTCACCCTAACACTCTGCCCTAGCCCTGAACCCCTCCCACACACCCCAGCCAGAGCACTCATCCCCCCACACTCCAACCCTCTGCCCAAGCCCTGAGCCCCCTTCCACACCCTAAACCCCTCATACCCAGCCCCACCCCAGAACCCTCACCCCCCCACACACACACATTGTGCAATATAGGGAAACTGTTAAACGCTTACTGTTTCCAGTCCATTTTTACATTATTTTTAAAAATATATAGAGACTTACAAGGCAGGTGTGGGGCCAGGGGGCAGGACTTGGACCCGTTCTGGGCACCACCAAAAATTATACAAACCTGCTGCCCCGGACTGTGCAGGGGGGAGGCTCTGGCAGGGGGGAAGCAGCAGGAAAAGATTCTGGCAACTCCCCACAGCAGGAGCCTTTCACTGAGGTGAGGAAAGGCTCTGGCACAGGGAGGCAGCAAGACACTGCACTGCTCAATGTAGCAGTGTAGATGTGGAAGGCACTGCTTGAGGTGTGAAGATCCCATTTTGCTAGCTACCCCCTATTAAACTAAATCAATATATTCAGACAGTAAACATCCCAATAACCAGGTCAACATAAACTATTAATAAATTATTACTGAGCAGCTCCAAATCCATCAGAGATGTATCATGTAAAGCATCTTCCAGGCACAGAATCATAGGGTTAGAAGGGATCGCAATGGTCATTACCCCGCCAAGATGCAAGATTTGTTGTGTCTAAATTATCCAAGACAGATGACTATCCAGCCTCCTTTTGAAAACCTCCAGTGAAGGAGCTTTCAGAACCACTTTACGCAGTCTGTTCCATTGTCCCACTGTTCTTGCAGCTAGGAAGTTTTTCAAGAGATTTAATCTAAATCTGCTATGCTGTCGTTTGAACCCATTGCCTCTTGTCCTGCCCTCCGTGGCAAGAGAACAACTTTTCTCTAACTTCTTTATGGCAGCCTTTCAAGTATCTTCCCTGCCCCAGTCTCCTCTTTTTCAAACTAAACATATCCAGTTCCTTCAGCCTTTGCTCATATGGCGTGCATTCCATTCCTTTAATCATCTTTGTCATTCATCTCTGTATCCTTTCCAGTTTCTCCACATCCTTTCTATACATACCATCTTGGGAAAAAATATTTTAAAATCCTCCAAGCCCATGTACAAGGACACCCTGGATCTCAAGTTCATTTGCCCAACTAAAATGTGATTGCCCCAATTTCTTTGAGGTCAGAATGAGGTTTTTGTTGATGTTTTTTAATTAAGTTGTGTTGCATATCCCTGCCTCAAAGACAAGCTAATGATCTAACACTCTTAAAAATCCTGGGTGAACCACCTAACTTATATGTTTGATTGTGGATGAAAATTACAACCAATTCCAACCTTCGCTTTTTTTGTAAAAAGTGGCAGTGGATAAAGAAACACAGGATCAGCTATTTTGCTTAATTCCCCTTGTAGTGTTGCTTGGCCAGGTAGGCACATGGGGAACTAAGCTAATCATGTCTGAGCTCTCCCTGAAAACTTTGAGGGCTTTTACAAAAAATACGAGGTAGCAGACCTGTTTTCATCCTCATCCTCAGATTGCACATGCCAACCACTGTCTCCAGAATTTTTAAGGGCAAGTCATCAGGTTGTCCAGTAGGCATTACATAAATAAAATGTCATTTATCCTGAACAGTTCTTTGGTTGTTCCAGGCTGCCAGACAAAAGGATTTTTCCTTGCATCCTCCCACTTAGGTCTTTTCATAGATGCAAAGTATAATGTTAATGTTTCTCATTTTCCCCTTTACAATGGTCTGTTTGGAGACTTACATTCATCCAGCTGTGCATGCTCTGAACTGAAGGAGGGATCATTCTTTTTTACATCAATCAATTTGTGAAGTTCTGATATGCATAATCCTAGAACACTGCCATAGATTTTGAGCTTTAAATGTTAAACAGTAAATCATTCTCCTCTGATTTTTGCACAGAGAAAAGCGAAGAGTGAGTTGACGTATATTTCTTACCCAACACAACTATAAATACATAATTGGCACAACAACCAGACTTCTGGTCTATATCAAAACACAGACCATAAACAAAAAATATTCCAAAATTGCATGAATTATCGTGCGGACAGTGTATTTGCTGACTTAACACATTAATAATGTGCAACTTTTAGTACTTTCCACATGCTCAACCCACTGGTTGCGATCATAGGCCTAAGCCACACATTTGTATTAATCAGAAGTCTGGCTATTTAAATAATCCTAAACTCCTGATAAATAATTCTAAGTACAACAGGCAGAAATTAGAATAACATTATTAAAACTCCACAATTTAAGAGCCCACAAGACCCACCCCAAAAATTATTGAGACTCCACCAAAAAATTATTAAACTTAACATTTACAGACTGTATGTTACAGCTGGCATATTTGAACCTTGAATCTTTTGCCAGTATCACTTTATATTAGTTAAAAAGATCTAATCGTAGAATAAAGTAAAGTCAAATGTTATGCTTTGTTTAACAAATTCATAACATTGTTTCCCATAAGCCAAAGCCTGCTGAGTGTCCTCAACCTCCATTTAATGTCAATGGGAATTAAAGGCACTCAGCGCCTTGCACAATTGGGTTCTTGTATTGAATTTCTCTTCAAAAAGCTACCTTAAAATTACATTTCAAATTTTGTAATCTCAGATAGCTCTTATTATGCATACATGCTGCAAAATACTCAGCAATCACCCAAGAGCCACAGTAAAGGTGTGGGGTGGGGGACTTTCTTAAATGGTCAGAAAAGCAGCCAGCAATACTGACAAGTGTATTACAAAGACAGAGAAGTTGCGGCTCATTTCAGAGTGGGTGTTCCAAGAGCAGCATAAGCAACCAAACCACCTCCTATGAGGTAAGTTTCAGTGACTATTCAGGGTAACATTGTTTTTAGCACACAGTTGGATGCAGGTTCCTGAAGAATAAAAATAGCATACATTCCCCTCAGGAATGAAAGCTGATCACACCTCTGCATGGTTTAGGAAAGAACACCATTCCCTGATAGCTAGGTGCACTGTTCAATTATTTTCTGGAGTGGTGGGGATAATGCCAGACTTAACAAGCCGATTCATAGATTCATAGATTATAGGACTGGAAGGGACCTCGAGAGGTCATCGAGTCCAGTCCCCTGCCCGCATGGCAGGACTAAATACTGTCTAGACCATCCCTGATAGACATTTATCTAACCTACTCTTAAATATCTCCAGAGATGGAGATTCCACAACCTCCCTAGGCAATTTATTCCAGTGTTTAACCACCCTGACAGTTAGGAATTTTTTCCTAATGTCCAACCTAGACCTCCCTTGCTGCAGCTTAAACCCATTGCTTCTTGTTCTATCCTTAGAGGCTAAGGTGAACAAGTTTTCTCCCTCCTCCTTATGACACCCTTTTAAATACCTGAAAACTGCT